TTTTACAAAATAAGACATATTAATGGGAGAGGGGTTCACAAATACTTATTTCTGACGATTTACATTGAAGTGATATTCTACCACCACCAAAACCTAAAAGTAAACATCTACTGCTACCACCACCACCAACAGTCAGACAAGTCAGAATTCAGCTTTCAAGTTGATTAACAACCTCTGCTAAATTCACGTAGAACATTCCAAGCTATTAAAAAGTAAGGTTGCTTTGTAGGAAAGCAAAGAAAGTGGTTAATCCAGATTCGCTGATGTGTTAGGTAGCTGTGGCACACTCATCTGTCTTTCCTAACTGTCTCTGATTATGGCTATGCTATTATTGGGTGATTGCATTTCATATCATTTGAAGCTTTGCAAGAGATATGTGATGTCCAGGAATAAGTAAAGACAGTGATGGTGGACAGCAGTGGCTACTCAATGAGCTACAAGACTGAGTCTCTTCCTGCGGAAATTTCCATTTACATGTTTTGTCTTCATCAAGTGAGAACTCCAGAAACATCAGTCCCTGGTGTGGAAAAGGATCTCAAGAAATGATGTGTTTGTAACTCCCTGCCCTTGGTCAAGTGAGGTGTTACTGCCCCTCCTTGCTGGTGCGGCAGCTTAAGTCAGAGCCCCTTGGTATTGGAAATAAAGGAAAGTTGAGCAGGGCTAGAGCCAATGCTTCTGGTCACATTCTTTGTGTATATGTAGAGAGAAAAGGCCAGAAACAAGTACTCATTCTGTGTCTGCTAAATGAGATACCCTATGCTAGACATCTCACATTCATGCCCTTATCTCTTCAATAACTGTGAATCTGGTGTAATTATTCGTGGTTGGGTGATGAGAAAAATGTTACTCAGAAAATGTAGGTCACTTACATCTAATCATTAAAAGAGCTGGAGTGAAAGTCCACTCTACACAGCCCATGCACCCACCCATTCCCACATTATGTCCTTTTTGTTTCAGGTCCCTGGCTTTGTAATTTCTTGCTATCTGACTCTACTGTAGAAAAAGAATAGAAAACTTAGTAACTGCATGAACTCTTTGTTTGATGTCCTGATTTGAAATCCCAGGCCTAACTGTGTGACATGTATAGGGATTTTTATAATTATTTACTTTAAAGGGACTATAAAATGGGAGAAAAAATATTGTCCCACTTTGTAGGAGTATTAAGAGGATTAAAGTAGAAAATGCAGAACAAGCCCTTCTGTGTAAAAAGCACTTGATAAACACTAGTTTGTGTTATTAGCTACTAGCAAGGACCAAAGACTAAAACAAGACTACTCGAGAAGCAACATGGTATCATGTTTCCCCCAGTCATTAAAACAAAAGACACGAAGCCGGGCACAGTGGCTCACACCTGTAATCCCAGCACCTTGGGAGGGTTGAGGGGGCATATCATGAGGTCAGGAATTCGAGACCATCCTGGCCAACATGGTGAAACCCCGTCTCCATTAAAAATAAAAAATTAGCCAGGCATGGTGGTGTGCACCTGTAGCCCCATCTACTCGAGAAGCGTGGCTGGAGAATTGCTTGAACCCGGAAGGCAGAGGTTATGGTGAGCTAAGATTGTGCCACTGCACTCCAGCCTGGGCAACAGAGCAAGACTCCGTCTCAATACAAACAAACAAACAAAAAAGACACATGGATGAATAAAGTCTGTTTTTTTGAAATAACTTTTGAAATAACTGAAAGCATATCACTCTAATTTATAGCCATCTCATACCTGAAGCAGTAGTTAGGTTTGTTAATACAACTCCTAGAAAAGGAGGGACTAATTTAAAATATCACTAGGCCCATTCTGTAGCATCCAACCTAGCAAAATCCATTCTCTGATTTTTGAAACAAGAGAAGTTCAAAGGTTAAAATGATCAGGAGGAAATAAAAAACACAAAAACTTACCATTTGCATCTCCTGAATAATTGTCTTTGGGATCCACTGTGGTGTCATCTAGAAGAATGAGAGCAAGTACTAGTCAATTGTTCATGCCCATTATTTGTCAAAGGGTGTGTGTGTATGTCTGTGTCCATGTGTAATTAAATGAATATTCATAAAATCTTTCAACAGAGAGGCAGGAAGACAGTTATTAAAAATATGAGCCCACAATCCCAGAAATAATTGGTCTGATTCTATGTAATTAGGTAGAGCTAATTCAAATATTACGTTTTTGCACATCAAGATGTTGAAGTTCATGAAGAATAGTTTTTTTTTCCTTTTTTATCACAACTGGAGTGTAGTTTCCAAGAACATTTGGTCTTCCTTCTGTATTCATAGCTCCTAGCACAGTGCCTTTTTATTTATCAAAAAAGGTTTTTGATAAATACTTGTTCAATGGAAAAATAAACAGAACAAGTGGCTACTT